TCGCGTTTCTGATTCTACAAAATCTGATTTTTCGCCAATGGACCTTCCCTGAAGGCAATCGCGTACACTGTAGTCTTCCAATTTTCCCCGCATGTAACTCTCAGGTTTCCCTTTTCCGAGAATTTTGGAACAGATGCAGAGACTGAGTTCTGAACTTCTCTCTCTCTCCCATTACAGCCACAGGATCATGTCACATGCACATTTCCGTACGTTGCTTATCGAACCAAGCCTTGGTGACTTCATGAAGGCCTACGGACTATGCGTGAACACGTAAGAATCGGGCTTGTCACCATACGACAGTTTCCAAGTGTTCCACACACACGGATAGTTTTAAGGAGGCCCTGATCCCAGCGTACATAATGCGGGAGTTCAGTTCCATTTCTCTACGTCTGTTAGGCCTAATTCATCCAGGAAGATGTTGACAAGGCGAATATTCGGAACACCAGATGGAGGTTGATATCATGAACGTTTAAAGTATTAGAGGGTGGAAAGGGGGTTGAAACATCCAATCATAACCTCATGTAGGACAGAACTGCCGAGAGGTGGCCTGGCTCCTTGCTGTCGCCGACTTGTGTCCAGGGCATCTGACGGCAGTGCCGAGGGATATCCCTCGGCAGGGACACGAGTCGGTCAAATAGGGCCTACAAAATTAGGCCTAACGTGACCTTGCTTCGGATCGGCTTCGTAAAATGTATTATTTAATAGGCATAGACTTTATAGTCTATGCCTATTAAATAATACATCTTCCATGAAAGGTCAATGAGAATGCATGTCAACGTAAATAAATTATTATCATGGACATACAGGCTAAAACTCACAGCAGAGGTTGACAGAACTTTGGTCGCTCTCATTCATGCTTGAGAGAATGTGTCTGCAGTAGGTGAAGACCTACATCCCTTTTTTATTCCACTTGATGCTCCACTTACTAAAGCTGTATGAAAGTTTTGAAAGGGGCAACCCTTTGGAAGTTGGGAACCCCGATGAGTCATGCCCTGTGCACGCAGCCATGCTGGTCAATAGCATCCTCGAATTCCAAAGGCTCTTAGTGTAGCTATCAGTTCACGGGTATATTCAGGGCAGGCAGTGCACTTTGTACCTGTCATTTACTGGAATAGAGGTACCAAACAGCACAGGACTAAAAAAAAAATCTGGAATAAATATGTATCTGAAACACCCTGCACAAAAATGGGCAATTCAATGAGCTAGTGTCATGAGTGGCTCACAGAAAGAAAGAGTTGCTTTGGGCATTTGCACAGGGGAACAGAGAGCAAACGTAAGGAGGTCACATCGGGACTTCATGCTTCTCGAAATTGCTTCAATATTTGCCACGCTAATGAAGGCTTTCGAGAAAGGAAGACGGAGAGAAATGCTTTATTTCAGTCTTCAAGTGAGTACTGATTCGATGCTTCGAGGCGTCCATGATAAGGTGAGGAATTCTCGTTAACTTTTAGTACCATTCTGGCTGCTTCATGCTGGTATTTCTCCAGGAAAGTGGAGCAACATTAGAGGGTGAGCACCCAAATAGGGAAATTAAGTACGCGTGAAGCCCCCCCTCCCCCTCGATCAATCAAGAGGGGTTTCATTTCTACAGGTACATTAATATTACATCTAGCAGGCATTACGAAAATTATCATACCTGGAACTTACAAACATGTATTCAATCCAGCTTCAAGTTACTCACATCTCGTGCATCTTTTAAATTCCTAACATCTTTGCTTGTCGGTAAATCAATGTTGCTAAATATTAATAGTAGCCAGTTTCAGTTGGAGCATTTTTCACGAAAGCCAGGGAATTTTTTCACACAGCCTCTAGAACTTGGCAAAAATAATTTCCCTCTGTAGTATCCCCTGAAGTAAGACTATCCCCTTCCCTTCAGACACCTAATTAATGATGAGGTGTTCTGAGGTGAAGGCAATGAAAGTAAAAGTTATTCAACTCGTGCAACTCATTCTGCGATGAAAAATTATTGGAGCTGATGGCATATGTTTGGTTCAAGTAAATTATGAAATTCACTTTTGTGAACACGAAGTCCCGATATTTCTATTGATTAAGGAAGCCTATGGGGAGTCTCATCTAGTAAACGATCGTGACTGAGACTGAGTAATTGACGACCATTATCTAGATATGATAGAAACTATGATATGATAGCTGAAACTTGGTAAGTTCAGGGAAAATTCTACATTTAGGATACGGCACCTTGGGAGCCCTTTTGGAAATGCGGGGTTATCCCAAAAGTTTTTGCTTGAACAAGACGGTGCACGTTCCCGTCCATCGAACGAAAGTGCCTCCACGCCTACGGAGGAGCGGGACCCATCGTCGCGGGCGTCGTGGCTCTGGCCCCCATTCGACGAAGCAAGACTTCCTCGTTCGGAGGAAATGAGGGATGAGAGGTGCAGCTGCTTCCACAACAACACGCTGACGAGACGAGAGAAAGGAGACGCGAGCCGTTCATCGATGACAACGGCCGTGTTTCGGCGCCTTTTTATTTTATGTGCGACGCCGGATCGAACTCCTTCGCCTTCCAAGTCCGCCGGGGGAGAAATCCTCTCGCTCTCGCGCATCCTGCGTGCTGCTTTTTCCACTTGTTGCGCTCCATTCACTCCGCACGCTGAGCACGGACACCTCTTTGTCTTCCCCGCGTTTTCCCACGATCTTTCTCTCCATCGCCTGCCATCATCTCACGCATTCGTTTTCGGCACGAGCCATCCAGGCATTGGCTTCAACGACTCGATTTCAAAATAGCCCCAGACGACCAGAAAACCGACAGCGATCCCGCTGAGACCGTTCATTAAAGGCAATCGAAGGACGAGTGCGAACGGGAGAATTCCCTTTCCGATGATTTTTATCAAGATGAGGACGCATCACATGAAAGGGTGAAAAGAGCACTGACGTAATCCTTCTTTCTTTGAATGGAACTAAATTCATGAGTTTCGCGGACCATGAGCACGCAGAAAGAATGAAGAGACTCCGATATATACAGTGTATATATCTAAGAAATATGAGACTCAGATATATGCATACAGAGTAGGTTATGATAGGAAATGCGTTTTCAGAGGGATGCTTGCATCTGCTCCACTCGGAAAAAAAATTCAGCTGATATAATTAAATATAATTCCCATTCCACTCCTGTCCACACTCATTCTACATGCGGTTTAGAAACGTCCTCACGACTTCCACCTCCATTCCACACCAATCCATTCCAGCTCCACACTGTTCCACCCGTGTGGATGAGTGAGGTTTTTTTTGAAGGGTCCGGCCCGACCGATGACCGATTCGCACCTACGAGCACAGCATTTTCTGATGCTGCCGGAATACAACACGTTACGGAAATTCTGCCAAATGGTGGTTTTCAGAAATTGTTGTTCTCCAACACGTTGTTGTTCCAGTTGTTCTCGAGTATATATATCCAAAAATCCTAATTAGGAGATACAATGTTTCATAATATGTGCGAGAAACACCATCCGATCGTTTGATAGAAGAGCTATTCCAGCAGCAATCACATTTAAGGCACGAAAACACAAAGGTTCTGCATCTCTAAACATATTCTCGAAGAAATCCAGCTTCTTGGGAAAGAAAATAAGCGAAAAAGGCACGATCGTGCTCATTAAAACTATCGCAAAACTCATTAAAACGCTTTCGAGTCGTATTCACCCAAACGGGGCCGAACCGAATGCCACCCCCATTAAAAGAGTACCTCGAAGCAGTACTCGACCTCCCGACCCTCCTTCCACTCCCCATAAGAATCCACTCAGACACACAGCGGAGACCGCGTCCTTCGGACCCGACGAGGACCGAGTCGAGCAGGCGACTCCGTCCCCTGCCCCCATCGTCGGGGAAACGAACGCGTCGATTGCAGGGAAGGTGACGAAATTCTACTGTGGGTAGCCCAGCGTCATCTCCCCATTCAACTCTTGGCTAAATGTGCGTCAGCTCGATTCAGTGATGGCCGGAAAAGCGAAAATGCGTTGTCTTGTCCCCGTTCTCGACCAGCGCCAGGTTACTACGGTTATTATTTTGCTGCCTCTGTGATATTACTTTTTGACTGCACTTCGTATATGCGCCTAGATTGGCTTATGTTGCTTGTCGGCGATGAAGTACATATACGAGCATGAGGCTCGAAGTGTTACGGTAACTTTGGCATTACAGTATCCTATCTACAGTAGTAGGTCGATAGATTCACAACAGTTAAGCGAGGAAATAATCCATTTGCTACAATCACATGATTCCTGTCCTTTGGGACACCTTGAATTTAAAAGCAGCGGATTATGTCCCTTCTGCATGAGAGTTTCCACCGTGACAGTCCACGTCACCGCTCACGCACCAAGCCCCAACGTCTGAATATTTCCTTCCTCGAGATTTCTGAATGCATCGTGTTCTCCATCAACCTCCACCCTCCGTTCTCCATCAACCTCCACCCTCCGTTCTCCATCAACCTCCACCCTCCGTTCTCCATCAACCTCCACCCTCCGTTCTCCATCAACCTCCATTCCTCCACCCTCCGTTCTCCATCAACTTCCATTCCTCCATCCTCCGTCCTCCATTGTCATTACCCAGTTTAAAATCCCGGCTGGAAACAGCTATAATTCCCAGCTGGACTCCAGCTGTAAATTCGGACCCGTTCCAACTGGGTAACAGCTGGAAAGTAGTCATCTCCAGATTTGTTCCTAATTGCTATATCACTAGCTGAATGAGAATCTTTTTGTTGACTACTTTTGTCGGAGGTCCATCAACAGGAACAGCTGATTTTCAACTATAAATTTAGCTACATTCCAGCTGTAGGATCCTCTTCATAAAATAACAACTGGAAAATTTCCAGCTGGAAAAAGCTATTAACACCAGCTGCATTCCAATTGGAAAATTCCGGCTAAGAAACAATTGGTACCTACTGTTTTCCAGCTCTTTGCTAGCTGGAAATGGTCCGAATTTACAGATTTGGTCCAGTTGGAATATTCCAGTTGGGATTTTAAACTGGGTAGTTATATCTGCTCGTCGAGCACTAAAAGTCGACTCAAACACATGATTTATGCTCATACCTTGACCTTGGTGACCTTGTCAGCTTATTGGGAAAGCCATGAGCTTCCATTTCCAGATTTTGCACTCATCAACAGCAATGTAATTGCCACATTTTCCTTCCCTCCATCCGCTGATTCCCTCTAAAGCCCTCTTTTTACATGCGAAGTGCATGTCTTTCCTTCTGTTTTTTTTTGTTGTTGTTTTGTTTCGTTTCTTTTTTTTTCCCTTTGGAGTTCCTATATTCGTGCTCCTTTGTTCCACCTCCACCTTGGATTTGCATCATTCTGAAGGTGTTTCTTTTGTTCTTGCGTGTTTCCGCTTCCCAGAAAAAAGGAGATTATTTTCTCCTGATGAATACACCTTTGAAAAATGATTCTGCTAAAAAAAAAAAATAGAAAAGTCAAAGTCGCCGAAGGAAATATGTCGCAACGTGTTGTCACCCGAGCAATGATCGAAGGTAACTGCCGTTCTCTAAAAAGGGCACATAACAGGTTATATTTAAAAAAAAAAAAGCCGTTTTGTTTCAGACACAAAATCCCGTTATGATCGATATCGGCCCTTCGCTTAAGGCAGAGCTGGACTCCAATTTTTGGTTAAATCCGTTACACCCCTGCAGCCATACGAGATATCGGCAGTAAATCTACGAGGAAAATTTGCAGATGACATTAGTTGATATACTTTTCAATGCATTGTAGAGGATCCGGCTGCGGCCTTGAATCTGCGTTTCGAACAACGTCTTCAAAAGATGAACGGGATTTTCCGTGGAACTAGACCTTAAGTAACGTGGATGAGATGATCAAAATTATCGGGAAGAAAAGGAGTAATGGAGTTTCGCTGCAGATGCAGGCGAGGTTTCCTCGAAAGACTCACGAAGAGCAAAACCGTGAATTTCTTCTGCGACTTGCCAATAATCAGAGCCACGAAACGGAATTGAAACTCTCGAAACTCGCGGAAAACGAGGAGCAACCCGACAAAAAACCACATTCGGCTCCCGTCGAGTTTACG